GTTCAGTTGCATTTGGGAGAGCAACAATCAGCATTCATTCCAGTAAAGCCAATTAAGCTAAAACAACAGCAGAAACCAGTGTGGTTACATGAGAAGTGGAGTCAAACACAGGGCAGTGTAAGCAGTGGAGGAGTGGGAGAATTATGTAAACAACCAGGACCAAGCAGAAAAGAATAATTAGAAAGAAAAATAATGATTGGCATCTCAATTAAAACAAAGAACAGCTAGCAGAGCTCTTCCATTTGTGGCTTTACATGTGTCCCAGCCAAAGTGCCCCATATGTTACTCAACAAGCTCTTCCCAAGTCAGAAGAAGAGCAGATCCTTTGCTGGAAGTCTTCAGGACAGTAGTTATAAACAGGCTGGGGGTGAGAAGTCACCCTTGCAGCAACCTTTGCTTGTGGTTTTCTTACATTCTACCTCTGTTTTTACCCCCGATTTAACAAGCAAAACTGAGAAAACACAGCTGGTTTTATTTAGTCTGTGTGAGCAAGGCTGAAAGTTATCGCACGGACGGCGCAGGAGAGGGAATACTCTGGAAAGAGTATTCAATCGATGGTCTTGAGTATGTATTTGGCAAGTTACAGATAGTTTTGTGGAAGTTCCTGTCTAATTTCATACAAAATCATTCATTTAATCTCTTTTTGCAACTGAGGTTCTCCCTGTTCCCCTTAGCTGTTGAGATTCCCTTCTACTCGTTCCTTAGAAATAATTGTGTTGCTTTTGCCTCTTTGTCAAGAAATGATCTCTCTGATTCCTATCAGATCTCTTCAGAACTATCAGAGCTGTCTTCCCAGTTGAGACAAGGCCACACAGAATTCCCACGTGGCCATGGTGTAGGCAGGTCTCATTTTCCACCTCCTCTGTGCCACGCTAAGCTAACAGAGCTGTCACATCCCCTTCACCTTTTGTGGTAGCTCATGGGCAAAGGGGAGTGGGGGGAGCAGTTCTTGTTCCCAGTTTGTGAATGAATGAATCATTTAAGGGTAGATAGATTTTGGAGACTGAAACCTCCAGGGATGAGCTTCAAGCAAAGCCAGTGTGGAAATCAGAGGCTTTCTGATGGGTGTGAAACCTGAAAGCATAGCTGAGCTGAGCCCAGATCCTGTGATCGGTAGGACAGGAGTTAAACTCCGAGGTATTTTTTCTTATAGGCAGGAAAGGAAAAATTTATAGCTCATAATCAACTCCTGAAGAATGTGATCTGTGATGTTTCTTTCCTGTCTGAGCTCTTGGAAGGCTCCTGTTCCTATCTGGGTCTATGGAGTGCAGGGAGTTTCTTCTCAAGGGCAGCAAATGTAAAGCTGCTGTAAGATCTGGGCAGGTCTCCAGGCTGTGTTTGGAAAGCTGCATTCCCTGCCACACCAGTGGAACAGTCGGGCAGCAGCAGGTCAGTAGGGCACAGTGTACCTCTTCTCCCTTCCCTATTTCCCCTCCTGACTGCAATGATTTTGCTGGCAAAAACCAGTGTCTGTAACAGCTGTGAACTCTTCACCCTGTGCTGGGAGACTGGGTCTGTCTTAAACTCTGTTTATTCTTCAGCTTACGAAAGTGGCCACCAACCAAGCCTCTGGAAACTGAGCTTGCTGTAAGGAGTCTGTGAACAGTGTTAGTACAAGAACTTGCCCTGTGGAAGGACTTCCTCCTTCCAAGTCACAGAATCACAGAATGGGTCTGGTTGGAAGGGACCACAGTGGGTCAGCTGGTCCAAACTCCTGCCCCAGCAGGGCCAGCCCAGAGCTCATGGCTCAGGTTGTGTCCAGATGGTTCTGGAATATCTCCAGTGAGGAGAATCTACAACCTCTCTGGGTAACCTGTTCAGTGCTCAGTGACTGCACAGGAAAGAAGTTCTTCTTCATGTTCAGGTGGAACTTCCTGTGCATCTGTTTCTGCCCATTACCTCTTGTTTTGTTGGTTTGCACCACTGAGCAGAGTCTGATCCATTTTTTTGACACCTTCCCTTCAGATACATTAATGAGGTCCCTCTGAGTCATCTCTTCTCAAGGCTAAACAGCCCCAACTCCCTCAGCCTTTCCTCATCACTGAGGTGCTCTAATCCCTTAATCATCTTTGTTGCCTTCCCCTGGACCTGCTCCAGGAGCTCCATGTCCCTCTGGCCCTGAGGATCCAGAACTGGACACAGCACTCCAGATGTGCCTCCCCAGGGCTGAGCAGAGGGTCAGGATCACCTCCCTGAGCTGCTGGCAATGCTCTCCCTAATACTCCCCAGGATTCCATGGACCTTCTCAGCCCCCAGGACACACTGCTGGCTCAGGGACACCTTGTTACCCACCAGGACCCCCAGGTCCTTCCCACAGAGCTATTCTCCAGCAGGTCAGTGCCCAACCTGTCCTGTCCTGGTTATCCTCCCCAGGGGCAGGACCTGCACTTGTCCTCTTTGAATTTCAGGTGGTTCTCCAGGCTGTTGAGGTCCCTCTGAAGGGCAGCACAGCCCTCTGAGGTATCAGCAGCTTCTTCCAGTGTTATGTCATCAGGAACTTGCTGAGGAGGCATTGACCTCTCATCCAGGTCATTGATGGCTAAGTGAAACAATCCTGGGACCAGTATAGAACCCTGGGGGACTCAACTAGTGACAACCTCCAACTAGACTCTGTGCCACTGATCACAACCCTCTGGGAGATGCCACTCAGCAAGTTCTCAATCCACCTCTCTGTCCACATTGCTGAACTGGTAAATGCTGATAAGAACAGAATGCTCAACCTGGTTTTTGGTGGTGGAAACAGTGGGGATGATGGTGAGTCTCTGATGTGGGTGGAGCAGGAGGAAGTGCATGATTCAGGCATGGAGTGAGGCACAGTGTTCCTGTGCCTGTGGTGGAAGAGGAAGGAAAATAGTGTGGACAGTGATGTTTGTGACTTGGTGCTGCTGTGATGCAGCACTCTGTGTGTGGGTGTAGAGAGGATGATCTCAGCTGTGAGGAGAGGGGAGGATGGAGGGAGAGCTTGGGAGCATCTGTCTGTTGAGGCCTTTCTTAGCCTGGGGATGTGGAGCTGGGCTGGCACTGCTGGCTGGGCTGTGCTGCTCGTGGAGCACTTGGTCCTCATGGAATAAAACAGTCCTGAAGCTCCAGATAAAATGTTTGGCCACCACTGGCCTAAACCATAAAGATTGTACAGTGGAAACTTGTGTGAGCTGAGCTGTGAAAATTCAGTCCAGAATGGTTTTCCAGTGTGAAGAGTTTTCCAAGCTGCACGATGTGTTTCATGTTTGAAGTGAAACCTGAAATCCAGAAGGTGTTTGTGTGCTACTTTTTGCTTGTAAATGCTCTTTGTAGCTCTGACATTGTAATTCCAGTGTTTCTCCTGTCAGCAAGCCTAACCAAACAGTGTTACTGACACATTTCCAAAGTCTTCAATTGAAAATTCAAAGTTGCCACAGTATCAGAGCAAGAAATGGAAGAAGCAACAGACTAAAATGGATGGGACTTGTAAAATGGAATCTGTATGGGATTAAAAGTTAATTACTGAGTGTTGGGGAAAAAAACTGGAATTATGACACAGAGAGTGGGAGAAACTCTCTTTATTCTTTCTTAACTCTTGGTTTATTTTGGATGCCTCTGAGCAGCTGAGTTAAGCAGAGACTGCTGTGGTTTCCCTACTTGCAGAAGGAATGTGCCAGTGTTTGTACACAGCTCTGATACAAGTGGAAGAGATTTGAGATACAGGTTCTCGTGACATGGAAGAAATCTTCAGGGCTCTTTCCTCAGGAAGTTTAGGTGTTTATTGTGCTTTTTATTTTGAAATAACTCCAAGACATTTGGTTATTTTCCAGTCTCCTTTCAGTTTTTCCACACCTAGGTGAAATTTGTTAACATCGTTGTAAGTTATTTCTGGAAAACCATAGCTTAGATTGCCTTATTTTCTTACAAAGTCAAGTTGAAACAATGAAAACTCTTTGGAAATACAGGATTTGAGGACATTGCCACAAGCACATGTTTGTGCAGTACCTCAGCACCAATCCAACAGGTGGGTGTGGATGAAAACCTGCACAAACCAGGAAAAGCAGATAAACACATCACTTCCCTCTCTGATTCATCAGCTCTGGTTTCCCCTCAGCCCCCTCAGTCTGTGGAAGGGCTGGCCATGGGCAGTTCTCTGCAGCTGTGTCCTTTAGCTGTGTGTGTCTAAGAAAGTGTGGGATAACTTTCCTGAACAAGACCCAGTGGTCCTGTAACTCCTTAAACATCCTTATCCTGCACTGGCACAGATACTGGAGTGAGAGACCTTTCTGCATGGTGTAACTTGACAGCCCTTTCTTTGGGCTGTGGGTGAAATCAAGACTCTGCTGATATATTCATGCATTTCACCCTGAGATGAGCAGGATCAGTGTGTCTTTTGGGCTCAGCTCTCTTGGTGCTTCCAGCCTGATCCTGGGCCCATGGTGCACGTGTTGCAGTTAGGGTTTTATCCTCCCAAATGAGGCAATCCCACCAACTGTGTGTGCTAACAGGGGTTAGCTCCAGGCTTAGGCTCCTTTTTCCTCCCCAAAACCCAAGGTTTCATACAGGCAAGCTCTGTACTAGGACTACAGATAAGGAGTAACATGGTGTGGAGGATGTTCAGCTTCACATTCGTCCCAGACTTGGCAGCAGTGACCAAGAAAAGGCCCCAAGGAAGCCTTTGATTTAGCACTTTGCCTGGGAAGCTACCCTGAAGAGCCATGAATACCTTGTTTCCTCCTTGCTGTTCTTCCACAACATCCCAGGGAGTGGTTGTGGAGCCAACACTGAGCTTTTCTCACAGGCACAATAAGGAGTGAAGAAATTCTGTGCTGCTGTTGATTGTGTGTGTCATGTCTGGTAGTTATTCAAACATAGCCAGATGCAGCTCAGCACAGACACAACTGGGCTGTGACTGGGCTGTGACTGTCCTGGTGTTTGCCTTGCTCTGTTGGACACAGGTGTGTTAGGTTACAGGTACCTGCCATTCCACTGGCACGTGCTGTATGCAAACGGTGTGTTGTCTCTGGATTTGCCCCCAGTGAAATAACATCAGTCTTACGGGCTTGGCTCGAGCAGTGCCCCGAGGATTTCAGAGAGCCACCTGACTACACATGTTTGCTGAAGCTGCTGGACTACCTGAAGAACAACATGCCTTGTTCTGACATGGAGAGTAAGGCCCAGAACCTCCTGAAGCAATTCCAGAGCCAAGAAGTGGAAACTGTTGGTGAGTTACCTTTCCCTTCTGCCTTTCTGTTCTCCCACACTGAGGTACCCCAGGGATTTATGTGGAGCATGTTTCAACACCTCTCACACTAATCAGGAGTATTGGGAGGCTCATCAGTGGTTTTTTTCTCACTTCTTTTACACAACTCCTGTGTGGAGGCTGCAGGTTGTGTGAGGGATGAGATGGTCTCACCATGTCTGTTCATTCTGGGGTGGGTTGGGAAATCCAGCACTTTGCCAACATTTAGCCAAAGCTTTGAGATGGCTGCAGCAGCCAAGTGGTTAATTGCCAGCACACTTCCCATGTCACTGGGTTAACACACACAGCTGCTCTCTGGCTGGAATTCTCACTTAACCCCCCTGCAAGGAAACCCCAAACCAACAAATCCCAGAGCTGTGACTGAACACAGCCTGAGTCACAGGCTTTGTTGTCCTGCAGCTTTTCCTCCTAGTTACCATCTTGTCAGAGGAAGTGTCTGTGGCTGTTTTTTCCTATTTGAGTGCCTGCTGCTGGTATCCAAGGACAGAGGAAAAACTTAGGTTCGTGGGGGTGAAACAGCAGTGAACTGGAGTGACACAAATCTGCTGTGTGCAGCGTCAGGCCTGGCACAAACCCTGATCCTGGTCCCAAAGTTCCTGTGGTGTGAGCTGCAGAGCCATAGGAGCTCATGTTAGAGGGGTGAGAGGGAATTATTCGTGTCATCAAGGATAAAGGAAATGCCAGAAACAAACCCTTTCATCCCATGAAAACTCTGTCTGCCGGATGTTCCTGAAATACCATGGCACTGCCTAATGCTGTGAAATGCCAAATGAACTCAAGTCATTAGCATCAGGTCTTTTCCTTATTGAACACAGGTAAGGGAACAGGATGGTTAATATGTGACCTTTCCTGGGTTGGCTTCCCCCAGGTCAAACAAAGAAAGCTCATAGAGCTGTGCTTGGGTTTGTCTGTTCCTCAGAGTGAGCACAAGTTCCCAGCAGCAATCCTGCATTTGTTTCCTCAGGTAACAGCTGAAAAGGTCTTTTTTCTGAGTCATAGATTGTTCAGTTTGACTTCTAACATTTCCCAAATTGTGGCAGAATAGAGGTTGGTAATTAGAATAAAATAAGAGTAGGATAACGAAATTAAGCTGTGGATTCTTCAGAGAAGAGTTTTAGGATTGTCCTACTTTATCAGAGCTCCAACTTTGTTCATTTCAGAGATTTCTTTCAAAGTTCTTAACATGTTGTTCCCAAACATTCATTGTGTGCTCTGAATTTACAAATATGTGTTCTAATCCTACAGCTTGATTGGGGTACTCAAACCTCCATGCCATCAGCCCTGCCAGGAGATTAGATTGCAGTACCACTAGGTAGATAAAAGCTGCTCCTGGTCTCCTGCAGCTTGAGCAAATCCAAGCTAGGAGAGGCAGAGATTGCAAATTCAGAAGGGGCACGTGGTTGCTCTCAGTGCAGTCAAGAGGGCAGTTGGGCTTGGAGAGGGCTGAATGGATCAGGGGGCTCTGAAGAGGGTGAGATACTTGAGTCCAAGAGGATTCCAGCTTGTTGGAGAGCAGGGAAAAGGCTGGTTACACATTGATGAGGGTGAGAAAGGCATGAAATAAAGAAAAGGAGAGTTTGCACTGCATTCCCTGATGGAGGTTTTGGGTAGGGCTGCAGCTCAGTGGTGAGGATTTTCAGTTGGGTTTCAGGAGCTGAAAGGAAAAGGAGGAGTTCCAAAGCCAAAAGGAGAGAGATTCCTGTAACAGTTCAGTGGAAGTCCATGTCATTATGTGTGTTGTTGCAAAACAGCCACAGGAAAATAATGCTGGAACAGAGGTCTCCATTTATCTCACTGAGCTCTGTCAATAACTTGTGCAATTGGAATGTACAGATGGAAATCAGCCTGTAGATAGAATTTTTAAAAATCAAAACCATAGCAATGTACATCATGATTATGTTTTGTTAATTAAGGAAGGAAGGAAAACCAAAGTATTTCGAAAACCAATGATTCTGTATCACTTTATCTGCTGTTGTAGCTGTAATGTTCTGCCTTAACTGGGGGTGAAGTCTTGCATAACACACTTTGTTTTGTTAATGAAATCTCACTAGTAGTAAACTCAGTCCTTGTTAGTCTTCAACAGGTCCTTATTTTTGCCTCCCTCCTTAGGGAGTTGCTGTTGCCTTACAGTAAAAGGGATTAGGATTTATTTGCAGGCATTTTTCTGTTTGACTTCCTCCTCTGCCATGGGAAACTGGGGCATATTTCTTGGTGGTTTAGTTTTTTGTTCCCAACCTCTGGGAGCCAAAAGGTGACAAAGGAGCAGCTGTGAAATCCCTTCCCTGCTGCACTGGGTTGAGCTATGAGCACAGCTCTCCTCTCTCACCTCCTCTGTGCTGCCCAGTGCAAATTTGGAAGAAGCATTTATCCCACTGCTGTAGGTGCTCACTATATTCCCTTTTCTGGGAGAAATTCCCTGAGAGGGGAAGGTGAGGGTTGCAGGAATGAACTCTTCAATCTAGTCCATGTAGCCACAAATGGTGCCAAGAAATCTGATCTCTCCTTTCATCTCTGGACACAAGAGCATTCCTCACACAGTGCTTTGGGGCTATGAGTGCAGCCTTGGCCCTCTGCACTTGGGTAGTTGGGTGTTTTTTCAGGTTATGAAGTACCTAAATACTGCAAAAAAGATTAGCACAATTCTGCAGTGCTGATAAGAAGTTTTGTTGGGGCAATGTCTAAACCCATTTGCTAAGAGAACTCTGAACATCTCAATTCTCTCTATTCCTTTTTATTCTACCTTTTCTTTGCCAGTTGAACCTTCTGGTCATTTTTCTCCCTAAAATGTGCAGCAGAGTGTGGCCTTTCCATCAGGCAGGACCTGTGGGGGGTTGTGTGTAACACACACAGCAATGTCCCCAAAAAATCAAACATCTGCTTTGATTCCTTGTTTGCTGTGTACATTGACCAAGTGTTGTTTTCCATCCTGGACAGATGAGTTCTGTAGCACTTCCTCCAGTGACCTAATTGATGGAGAGGATCTGGAGATCAGCAATCCAGAGGAATTCTCCTCTTTCCCAGACCACGTCGTGGCAGAACAGTTGACATATATGGATGTGGTATGTGGAGTATATGGACTGCTTGAAATGCCAGGGGAAACAGTGCTGAGCTCTACCTAAAGTTGTACTGATACAGGTGTAGTGTTCTGTAGGTTGTTACGGGGACACAGGGCACAGCTCTGTGCTTATCCCAACTGCTTCAGTCATCCCAAAGGTGGTTTTTCCTTTTTAAAGAAGTGGGAATTATACTGTGTAGCCTTTATTTAATGTTTGGCACCTAAGGAATGCAACTGTCCAGCCTTTATTTAATGTTTGGCACCTAAGCAATAGCACATTTTGACTACATTGCTCCCTGTCCTGAAACTGTCTAGGCACTCTGACTTGTAGTGCTCTGATTTGCTTTGTCTGTATCAATCACCTACAAAATATCATTAGATAAAAATTTCCCCCTTGGTTATACAACTGGTACAAAGGTATCCCTTATTTTCCCAGGATTGTTTAGCTGACAGGTCTTTTAGGGCATCAAGCCTATAAAGACTCTACCAAAGTGTGTATTTTAAGCTAAGAGAAAACAAATCTTTACTTCTTAATTCATGTCAGATTTAGATCCAACTGGTACTGTGAACCTGCATTTTTTCTGGTGGATAAATTGAACCCTGATGACTTACTACACCTCTGTTTCACTCTAGATGCTCTTCAAGAAAGTTGTGCCTCACCACTGTTTGGGCTCCATCTGGTCCCAGAGGGATAAGAAGGAGAACAAGCACTTGGCTCCTACGGTCAGAGCCACCATCACCCAGTTCAACGCAGTGACCAAGTGTGTGGTCAGCACCATCCTGGCCACCAAGGGGCTCAAAATCCAGCAGAGAGCCAAGATCATTGAGAAGTGGATTCATATTGCACTTGTAAGGCATTTCTTCTGTTTAATCTTTTTGGGGCAGATGCCTTGGAGTGAGGGAGTTGAGTGGGGAGAAGGGGATTGTTCTTATTGGTCTCAGGCCATCTTAGCTCTAATGCTCTTTATTTTTGACTCATTTTCTTTGGCATAGCAGATGAATATTGCCCTTCCTCTCCTTCCCCACCCTGGAATGGGCTTGATGTTTGACCTTGTCAAAGGCCTTAGAGAAGCCCAGACAGGCAATATCCATAGCTTTTCCCTTGTCCAGTGACGTGGTCACTCCATTGTGGAAGACCACTAGGTTGGTCAGGCAGGACCTGCCCTTGGTGAAGCTGTGCTGGCTGTCTGGAATCAGATCCCTGTCCTCCATGAGCCTCAGCAGAGCTTCTAGGAGGATCTCCTAGCAGATTCCATGTTTCTTAATCCTTGTGTGAAAGGGTTTTCTGTGCCTTCCTTACAGAACTCTGGTTTGTGGATCTCTTAGTTGTTATCTTGACTATTTTACTGTGACCATTCAGTCTCCTCTCAGTGCCCTGGGCAGCTGGCATCTTGACTATTTTACTGTGACCATTGTCTCCTCTCAGTGCCCTGGGCAGCTGGCAGCAATGAGCTCTCTCTCTCTTGAAGAGAACATATGCAGCACTGCCACGTTGGATGTGTTGACTTTTAGGAAGCACATGGATTCTTCCTGAGCTGTACAAAACCAGCAGTCAGAATTGCTCAAGCCAGAGAGGCTTTCCAACCCTGCCACTGCCCTTCTGTGCTCCCAGAGACCCCTGAGCCCTGGCACCTGCATGGTGCAGGAGGTGCTGTGGGGCAGGTCTGGCACCTCCCTGGTGGCACTGAGGTCAGATCCTTGTTGTTCCCCTCTGATGGCTTTGTGGGAAGAGGTTAGGGAGTTGGATTCCTGTGTTCCACATGCACAACTTTTAGTTGCAGAGGGCACAGCTGAAAGGCCTCTATGGGCAGCCTGGGCAGGCAAGGATGAGGAGCTTCCTCACCAACCCAGGGCAGAGGGGAGGCCTGGGGAAGCCAGAGGACACACCACTCCCATCATACTTGCTCTGTGGATGGGGAACTTTATTCTCCACCTCTGCTGGTTCAGTGCTTCTCCCTTGACTTCATTCCTGCATGGAATCAGATGCTGCAGCCCTAGCTAAACACATGGGAAATGCATGTGCACGTGCTGCACATGTAGAGCAGCTGTTGGAAGTGTACTCAGCTGTGCACTCTGAAGGGAGCTGCTTGCTTTCTGCATGCAAATGAGTGTTTGGAATAGTTAGGTGCCTGATTGGAAAATAATCCACTCATTAAAGTGCAGTTATTCACTGACAGTTAAGCCTGTAACTCAGCAGCACAGAGTTCCAGGTTTGTTATCTGTCTGTGACTTTTGGATCCATTTTCTTGGTGTAAAAGGTAAACTGAATAGTTTCTCTCACTGCCAGCCCTCTCTGCTCCACCTAGATCTGAGGTTCCTGAGCAGGAGCAGCCAAATTCACTCCAACAATATTTTCTTTCAAAATAAGAAGTAAAAATGAAATCATTAATATCCTGTTATGCTTAAGTTTTTAAAATCAAAGCTGCTTCTGCACAGGATTCTTTCTGGTTTTCCCCTTGTGAAGGACACAGCAGGAAACAAAATTCAAACCAGGCTTAGAAGTTCTTCCATGCAAATGAAAACTTGCAGTTAGTTAAACCACTGAGGGCACCAAACCCACTATTGAATTCCTAGTGTGCTTTAAATTATACAACCTGCAACTAAGTCAAGATGGTCCCAAATTGGATCTTCCAGTCCAAACTCCTGTTGGATTGGAAAAAAAGATAAGCTGAGGATTTGTGCCTCTAAATTCATGTCCTCCCTGACTTGAATTTCAGGTTGAACATAAAGGAAGGTCCTCTGTAATCTCATGCAATCACTGAAGAAGAGCTGTTCTGTGGCTTCCTCGGCCCCAAACCATCCAGGAATAGCTTTCAGGTCTGGCATGTGATCTTGGACTTGGTCTTTATCTGACCTAACTGCCAATCTGCTGCCTGCCCAGGCTGTCTGCTCAAGCCACACGTGGTTAAATGTGGCTCCTCATCTGCACAAAGACCTTTTTTAGGTAGATCCATGGGAGGACATGTATTTGCCTTAGTTGTTAAGTCATTTTTAATGCAGCTCCTGAACACACTTGCTGATTTATTAAGGTCTGACTTCTGTTCC